CTCCCCCTCTCTTCTCCCCTCCTCCTCTAAGTGCTTCCTGGAAGTAACAGAAGGGTGTGCACTATCTTGCAGTTTCCTATGACCATCAGCCAGTCTCCTCATCTCCGGCCCGCAACTGCTTAAATGATCTTTCTCCATGGCCTGCTCCTGCTCTCAAGATGTGCACTCACAGCACAGGCTGAAGGGCCCTGCACTTAGCACAGGTCTGGATGCCGGTTGGAGTGGAAGCTACAATGCCCAGATGTCAATTCTGATCTTACTGGAAACCGCTCTTAAGTTTGAATGCTCATTAGCTTCCAGGAGCCTCTTTTACCCCTTGTGACTTCAGGGCGACAACAGCCTCCTACGCTAGCCTGTCTTTCTCTTTACTGCCACCTTCCTAATCTCTGTGGGTCAAACAGGGCCCCGCAGAAAAGGGTGGCCCATTCAAATGAACATTGACCTCAAGGTGGGGTAACTTACAGAGGGGATGACTGAATAGGTAAGGGCAGATGGAGGGGGACCCCAGGACTAGCAGCAGCAGAGTTACCACTGGGCTAGGTTCTCCGGTTCAAGGAGACCCACAGAGTGAGTGGACTGGACACAATGAGGAGCCAAGCAGAGGCCTTGGGAAGAGCAGCGACTTCCTGTGAGGGACACAAACAATCCCAAGGGAAGTAACCAAAGGCAGACATATTGTGACCTGCTTTCCCCCTTCCCTCCTTCTGATTGCCTGCCCTCCACTCCCCAGCCTCACGGGGAGCCCCTAATTGGGTGCCAAAAGGTGTGGGAGACCATGGATGTAGCCCTTGTTGGCCAGACCTCCCCAAGAGGCATAAAGAGCAGGTGTGGGGATCTGGAGGGACACAGGTGTGAGCTGCCACCCACCTGCAGCTCCAATCACTCACACCTTCCTCTAATTGTTCCAATTAACCCTTCTCCATGTGCCATCTGTTTCTTGTGCCATCTAGTTTGGGGTTCAAAGAATATTAAAAAAGAGGGATGGATGAATATGGCAAAGCTATTATTCTCCAGTGAGATGAACAGGCTTGGCCTTAGTAGGGGATTCTGAGATTCTGAGCATAAGTACCCCTACCCGGCCATCTGCCAATGGGAAGTCTCTGGTCTCCTCTTTGCCCAAGGAGTCTGTCTCTTCATTTGTCCAGGTCTAGCTGATTCCAGATGGACTGACACAGTGGCTGCGACAATGGGCTCTAGCACAAGAACACGGTGAGGGTGATGCAGGACCGGGCAGTGTGTCACTCTGTTGTACACCGCGGGTCATTATGAGCGGGGACCAACTTGATGGCAGCCGATAGAAACAACAGCAGCAGCAACAACAACAACATCATCTGATTCTAAGGCAGTGGTTCTCAACCTTCCTAATGCCGCCTGCCTTCATACAGTTCCTCATGTTGTGGTGACCCCCCAACCATCAAATTATTTTTGTTGCTATTTGATAACTGTAATTTTGTTACTGTTATGAATCGGGTGAACCCTATGAAAGGGTTGTTCCACCCCCAAAGGGGTCGCAAGCCACAGGTTGAGAACCGCTCTAAATCTAAGGCATGTGTTTCTCGCACCAACTTAAACCACTTCTCTGAAGGCGAGGCGCAACGTCCAAGACTTGTTGACACATTAGCATCCTTTATGTCACTTTACCGCCACCTCTTCAGAGAGGCCTTCTCTGGCCTCCATTGTAAATGCCATCCATGCTCTCCTTCCTAGTTTGACTTTGTTTAACCCCAGAGAACTCCCCTCTGTGTGCAGGACGCTATATACGAATTGGGTCTTTTGTCACTGTCTGTCCTCTCATGGAAACCCAAGCTTCACAGCAGCAAGGTCCCTGTTCATCGTTTCAGCCCCAGTCACACAGCTGGCCCTCAGCAGATGCCACCGAGTGAACCTGACGGAGGAAATGGGCAGAGGGGCTCTCCCTCAGCAACAGAGAACATGATGGTGGTGACTCACGTTTATTAAAAATAAAAATAGCTCATCCGACTGAGTGCCATTGAGTCGATGCGGACATTAGCTTTTCATTTATTTCTTGCAATTTTAAATAGCTTTATTATTATTTTTTAATCATTTTATTGAGGGCTCTTATAGCTCTAATAACTATCCACACACCCCTCCATTGTGTCAAGCACATTTGTACATAGGTTGCCATCATCATTTCGAAACATTTCTTTCTACTTGAGCCCTTGGTATCACCTCCTCATT